TGCGCTGCTTAAGGCTGGGCGGCCGCCTCACGTGACCGCGTTGGGCCACGCCCTGCGAGCTGGGGGTGTGGCTACCTTGCTCGGAAACGGGGGCGGGGCCTTCATTTGTCCAGAAAGTGTTGACAACTAAACTGTGACTGTCGTTGAAATGCTCAATTTGTATCATGTGTATGTTACCACACTCCAAAAAACAGACACACAAAACACTAAGGAGGCCATATGGATCCCTGTGAACAAGTGGGATAAGTCCTCTAGCTGGGACTGCCAGATTTCGTGAAAACACCTTGAAGGCAGTTAAAATTTGAATTTTAGGTAAAAAATGAGTAATTTATTAATAGAACTATGCCATGCAATATTTGGACATAGTGATGCAAAGAAAGTATTCGTTATTTATCTAATATTCACTATTTATTTGAAATTCAAATGTAACTGTCAGTCCTGTATTTTGTCTGGAAAACCTACCCTGAGTTCCCAATGTTTTTCAACAAACACTTTAAAAAAATTACAAAATAGCCAGGCTGGTGTGGCTCCGTGGTTGAGCATCAACCTATGAACTGGTCACGGTTCGATTCCCAGTCAGGGCACATGCCCGGATTGGGGGCTTAATCCGCAGTGTGGGGCGTGTGGGAGGCATCAATCGATGATTTTCTCTCATCATTGATGTTTCTCTTTGTTCCTCTCCCTTCCTTTCTCTGAAATCATCATTGATGTTTCTGTCTCTCCCTTTCCCTTCCTCTCTGAAGTCAATAAAAATATTTTAAAAAGTACAAAATAATTTCAAACAAAAGCAGGGTAATGTAATCTTTGTGACCTTGGATTAGGCAACAATTTCTTACATATGACAAAGCACACACAACAAAAGAAAAAATAAGTTGGACTTTAAAAAAATAAACTTTTGCCCTGACTGGTTTGGCTCAGTGGATAGAGCAGACTGAAGGGTCCCAGGTTCGATTTCGGTCAAGGGCATGTACCTTGGTTGCAGGCACATTCCCAATAGGGGATGTGCAGGAGGCAGCTGATCGATGTTTCTCTCTCATCGATGTTTCTAACTCTCTGTCCCTCTCCCTTCCTCTCTGTAAAAAATGAATAAAATATATTTTTTAAAAAATAAACTTTTTGTGCTTCAGAGAACACCAAGAAAGTGAAAACACAACTGACAGAATGGGAGAAAATACTGGGGTTAATCATGTATCTGATAAGGAACTTATATCTAGGGTATATACAATGAACACTTACAACTTAATTTAAAAATACAATAACCCAATTTAAAAATGAACAAAGAATCTGAATGCACATTTCTCTGAAGAAGACATGTAAGTGCACAATAAGAACATGAAAAGTGCTCAATATAATGAGCCATCAGGGAAATGCAAATCAAAACCACAGTGAGACACTACTTCACAAACACTAGGATGACTGTAATGAAGTCAGATAATGAGTGGCTCAGTTGGTTGAGTGTCGTCCGGTGCACCAAAATGTTGCTGGTTGGATTCAGGGCTCCTACTTGGGTTTTGTGTTTGATCCCATCAGGGAACCTATGGAAGGCAACAGACCCATGTTTCTCTCTCTCTCTCTCTCTCTCTCTCTCTCTCTCTCTCTCTCTCTCTCTCCATATCCTCAGGTGGAGATTAAAAGAATAAATAGATAAAAATAAAAAAGGCAGATAATAATTGTTGGAGAAGGTGAAGAAACTAGAACCCTCATGCATTGCTGTGGGAATTCAGAACGGTGCAACTGATGAAAAATACCCCAACAGTTAAACACACAATTATTGCCCTGGTCAGGGCCAGGTGGCTCAGTTATTGGAGCATGGTCCCATACACCAAAAAGGTTTCAGGTTCTATTCCTAGTCAGGACACATACCTAGGTGTGGGTTCGATCCACAGTCGGGGAGCGTACCAGAGGCAACCTATGAATGATGTCTCTCTCCCTTCCTCTCTCTAAAATCAATAAAACACACCCTCAGATGAGTATTAAAACACAAACAGCCAAGCCAGTGTAGCTCAGTGGTTGAGCTTCAACCTATGAGCCAGTAGATCACGGTTCAATTCCTGGTTAGGGCACATGCCTGGGTTGTGGGCTTGATTCCCAGTGTGGGGCATGCAGGAGGCAGCCAATCAATAATTCTCTCTCATCATTGATGTTTCTATCTCTCTCCCCTCTCCCTTCCTCTCTGAAATCTATATATATAAAAGGCTAATATGCAAATTGTCCCCTTGGGAGTTTGACGAGAGAATGAGAGTTTGATCGCTCGATATGACGTGTGCTGATCACTAGGGGGCAGCGTGGAATATGGAGGTGACTGGGACAGAGGTGCTGTGAGAATGCAGGGTGTCTGCCGAGCTTGCTCTCACTCCCCCTGCTACTCTCCCCCGGGACGCCAGGGCTCGAGCTCAGGTGCCAGCGAGGAGCCCGCCCCGCACCCACACTGGACCACAGGGGCCAGTCGGGGGCTCCCTGTGGGTTCGTGTAGGAGCCAGTCTGCGAGGCTGGCCGGGCTTCTGTGTGGTGCTGCTGGGTGGCCCAGAGGCCCACACTGCTCCCCAGCCCGCAGCATCCAGCCACGATCACCACATCTCCACTTGGGGACTCAGGCGGAGGAGGGCGCGTGGGGTCCTGGGTGCCCAGGACCCAGAGGTCAGCTGGGACCTGCTCTTTCATGCCAGACTCTCACGCTTTGATCGCTGGCTAGGCCTAGGGACCACACCTGTGCACAAATTTTATGCACTGGGCCTCTAGTCAATAATAATAATAATGATGATAATAATAAAATGGAAAAACTATTCTCAGGTGAACATGAACAACAAAAAAGGGTGGCCCTGGCAGCCCATCCATGTTTCTGTCTCACATCAATGTTTCTCTCTCTCTCTCTCTCTCTCTGAAATCAATAAAAACATATCTTTAGGTGAGGATTAAAAAAATAATAGGGTGATGTCAGGGGGGCTGCTTTGCATAAGGGGTCAGGCAGCTTCTTGCTGTCAATGACATACGAGGTGACATAAGAATGAGGAGGAGGCAGAAGCCATGGGAAGGAGTGGGTGGTAGTCTGACAACAGCCTGTCAGGTGGGGAAGGCAGCATCCAGAGAGGAGGCTGGGCAGAGCGTGTGGAGTCCCAGCTACAGCGGACATTCAAGGAAAAGGCTGGAAGGATGTAGCAGATAGGCCACAACTTGCTGATAATGGGACTGTAGGGTGAGGCTTTCACTCCTGGCAGATCCACTCTCAGGCCCTGGGAGCCTCAGAGCCAACTGAAAGCCCCAGGCTTAACAAGGCCACGAGGCCACACAGATGGGGATCGAGAGCTACGTGCAGAATGAGGGAGGAAGACAGCCAGCTGGCTTCAAAACCCCTACAGCCTGGGAGGTGGAATTTCTCCTAGCCTGCGCCCTTGCCCTTCCTAGGCGGGGCTGAGGACAGCGCTCGTGGGAAATAGCCTTTGCTTTTGTTTTCAAAATAAAGCTCAGTCTCCTGAAGACCCAGTTTTCTGATCTCCCTCGAAAGCCTGCCTTGCCCCCTCACCCCGACTCCCCAGATCCCTGCCTGGCTCAGTCCTGGCCCCACCCCAGAGCAGGAGGACCTGAGTCCCCCTCTGCTTCCAAGGACAGGCCTTCAGGACCCCTCCGTCAGGGCAGCCAGACTTAGGAAGTAAAAATACAGGACACGCTGTTAAATTTGCCTTTCAGATTTTTAAAAATCAGTAATTTTTTTGTATAAGTATATCCCACACAGTATCTGGGACTTACTTTCACTAAAAACATTATCTGCTCTATATCTGAAATTCAAATTTAACTGGCCACCCTGTATTTCACCTGGCATCTCTGACCCACTTGAAGGCAGCCTGGCTCCATCCCCCTTTGTAATCGCCCACCCTCATGGCACTGGTCACCCTCTGACCTTGTGTGAGGTCAGGGACAACCACCTCATCTGGGCTCCTGCTGTGCACTCATCTGCACACAACAGCTGCCCCTGCTTAGCTGTGGGTGGTCCTCACTCACTCACTCACTCCCCTCCCCCACCATCCCACCCGCTCCCCACCCCTGCCTCTGATGCCTGCACCCTCTGGGATAGATCTGGACATCTTCCTCCAACAGAGGGCAAAGCAAGCAACTCTTCTTCTTCTTTTAAAGAAATATATTTTTATTGATTTCGGAGAGGAAGGGAAAGGGAGAGATAGAAACATCAACGATGAGAGAGAGTGTCGTTGATCAGCTGCCTCCTGCACACCCCATACTGAAGATCAAGCCCGAAACCCGGGCATGCCCCCTGACCGGGAATCGAACCGTGACCTCCTGGTTCAAAGGTCGATGCTCTAACACTGAGCCACGCTCGCTGGCTGGGCAAGCAGCTCTCTTCTTCAGCCTGTCTCTCCAACTCTGTTCTGGGCAGTAGACAGGCCTCACTGGTTAGAGAGGCCACAGAAGAAGGCAGGGCAGCCCTTCCTTCTTTGTTCCAGCTCCTCCTGCAGGAAAAGGAAAAGCCAAGGTTCTCTCCGCAGCCCACAGGCCTGGCCCTGCTGACCCCTTGGGCGTCAGCACCCTCCGTCTCTTCGAAGCCTTGGCTCTCGCCTCACTGGCACCGCGTCCTGCTCCAAGCCTTTGCCTGGGCTGGCCTGCTGCCAGGGATGCCCTCCTCAGGTTGTAGCCTGGCTCCCTCCTTACATGGTGGTACTGGCCACCTCCTGGCAGAGGCCCCTCCTGCCGGTCCTGGCTCCAGTGCCTCATACTCAGACGCGGCTCCATCACAGGGTGTTGGCTTTGGTTTGTTTGCTTCCTACTTTTTCTTATAAAACCGTTCGTACTCACAGACACAGGGAGAGAAGAGGGCATAGGGTTTTTCTTCTCTTCACACCCACTCCATCCATTTATCCTAAAATGCTCCAGCTTAACTCCGTGTATTTTTCTGAAAGGGTGGGGCTTTGAAATCCAACCCCTTCCCAGGTGGTGACTCCAGGGGCATGGAAGTGTGTGGATTCTATTCTCTGGGCACCGGGGAGCCCAGGGAGGGATTGGAGAAAGGGAGGATCGTCATCTGTATGTACCACTGAGGGGAGAGGGGCCGGGAGCGCTGGGAGTGGACTGGGGTAGGGGACAGGATGGTGCAGTGG